GGGGCCTGCCATCCCTGCCTCGCTCCAGCAGCTCCTTGCATCCAGGGTCCATCTGTCCTCCCCCCTTGGGGGGCCCTAGGACACGGCCCTACTCAGATCTCCTGGAGGAAGTCCACGGGGAAGAGCCCCACTTTGCGGCCGGTGTAGACTTTCACGTAACCATTCACCTCCTCACCCTTCTGCACCACGATCTGGGGTCAAAAGGGGAGTAGGTGAGACCCCCAGGGCCCCACAGAGGAGGGGGAAGGCAGCAACCCCCAGGCAGGGACGGGGGGCTGGGCAGAGCTGGGGGAGGTGGGCAGTGTGGGGACAGTGATGCAGGCCAGGGGCTGAGCTGAGAGTGGCTGTGGGGTGCAGCAGGGTGCCAGGACAGCCGTGATGGGTGGGGGGCCTGGAGGGAGGCTGGGGCAGGGATGCAGATGGGGGCTTGGAGGACCGTGGGCTGTGACAACATGATCATGTCTCACCTGATCTTTCTTGAGGGTGATCTGCCCGATCTCCCGGTTGCCCACAAAAGAGCGTGTCACTTTGTGTACTCGCTCGCCTGCCCGCACCCGGATGATGAAGTTTGGAGGGAAGTAGCCAATTTTTTCACCGATCTTCCCCTGAAAAAAGTCAGTGGATGGGTGTGAGGTGAGGGTTGTAGCCAATCTGTATGCCCCCCACATTGCCCCATGCATGTGGGCTGGCATGAGGACACAGCAGATTTAGGGGGCTGTGCTTAGAGTGCAGCTTGCACTCTCCGATGACCTCTCCCTTTGCTTTAAGCTCTGCACCTTTCCCCTCTGTGCTCATAGGCCTTACCCGCCACCACTCCTCGTTGGAGTCATCGACCACCGTGATCTTCTCCCCTGGCCTGCGAAGGGAAGGAAGGGCTCAGTGGGAGGGCGGGAAAGGACACCCCACCATGGGGGACCCTGAGGTTGGCACAGAAAATTGCACTTCCCACACCACCAACTTCTAGTGCCCTGTGTCAGAGGAGGTCAAAGAACGCACACAGCCTGCAGGCTCAGAGAGAGTCCTGTACGCGAGCAGCTCAGTCCCAAGTCTGGGGTGCAAGAAATCAGTGGAACCACATCGAGACAAACAGCAGCAGCCTGGGAAATAAGGCTTGTGCCCAAAACCTGGGAGCTGGGAGAGCTGGCTGAGCGTGAGCCAGGGCCCCTGCTCAATGTGCAGCCCAGTGGGGCAGGTAGAAAAGCCACAAAATCCAACCCACAGTCAGCAGGGCTCTCATTTCTGCCCTCATTCATTCATTCACAGACCCCTCCTGGCTGTGAGAGCCTGCTGAGGTGAAGACTTCTTCCCCTCCCCACTGGACACCCCACATCCTTCCCCTTATAACCCCTGTGCCCACTACATGGCTGGGAACTTACGGGAAATCCAGATCATCTTTCTCCAGGGCTTTGAAGCGATAAAGTGCCACAAAATAGTGAGACTGCAGATAGCCACCACGAATGCCTGGCTGTGGCTTCTTGTTCTGTGGGAGGAGAGAAGAGGGATTTGGTGCCCCAGAGAGGCTGATGAGAGCCCCGGGGAGCCCAGCAGGGATATCCCTGCAGCATCTGCTCATGCTGCTCCATGGCCAGGGGCCTCTGGAGTGTAGGGTAAAGAGGACAGCTACCTTGTCATCTGTTGGGCTCTTCTCAGTCTTCTTGTCCCCTTCAGAGGTGCCTGGAAATGGGAGGAGGGCAGTTACATCTCTCCTGGTGCTGCCTCCCTGCCCCGGGACCAGCCTCCTCCCAAGGATCTCCTGTGCCCAGGTCAACAAGGTGAAGTAGAGAGAGCCCCAGGGTGGAGACCTGAACTTCAGACCCCCTTTCTGCAGGGCAAAACCCACCCCAGGGGGGCCCCCAAGTATAGCGTCCCATCAGGCTTGCTCCCTGCCCTATACTTGTGGCTGGAGCTCAGTGCCCCCCAGTTCCTTGGCCCTCACGTGCAGCCAGCCCTGCTGTGGTCGTAGCACTCACCGCCCTCGGTTTTGCCCTTTTCTGGTTTCGTGGCCTCTGGTTCCTCATCCATCATAGCAGCCAAAGGCTGCAAGGCAGAGAGCTGTCAGGGCATGCAGAGGGGGCAGGGAGGTGGGGGTGGCAATGGGGTGCAGGCTGTGGTGCCAGGACCCTTGGGCATTTGGAGTGACAGGCCAACCCCACACTCACGTTCTTCTTGTCATCCTGCCCTTTCTTGCGCTCCTTGTTGGCCATAATGACACCTGTCCGCAGGGTCTCGAACACCGGGTCGCTCCTGTTGGCTGCTGCTGGGGCACAGGGATGGTGAGAGGGGTTCAGCTACGGGATGCAAGGGAGGTGGGGCACCCCAGCGTAGGGACGGTACTTACAGAGCAGCTCCTTGACACAGGCGTATTGCTGGTCACTGTAGAGGGGTGAGCTGTATGCCCGGCGAAACCCTGGGGGCTGGAAGGAAAGAGGAGGTCAGAGCATCAACCACCACCCAGACCTGTGGGCCCTGCTGAGAGATCTGAGTGGGGAGCAGGTGGATGCTGGGGACCCAGAGGGTGACCACCCAGCAGGGGGCTGATGCCTGTGTCTCCTGCCTCAGAGATTGTAAGAGAGGTGGGTCATGGCACCTGGGTCATGCCCACAGGGACCGAGCTGGCTGCTCCCTGCCACAGTGCTTTGTGAGGAGGTGCCCCAAACCTGGTGTCGGAGGGAACACTCACGATTTTGCCAAAGCAGCGTTGCATCTCCACATAGGACTGGCAGTGCTGGTGGATGTTGGTTTTGCAGTTCTTGCATCTCAGGCCAAATTTGTTGTTGACTGGCGGTGAGGGGGCGGAGGGGTGGAAAGGAGAGGCAATGTGACACTGCAGCTGTGGGGACGGCTGGGCTGGAGTCCTTGCCAGCCTTGGCCCCCAGCCCTTGCCCTGACCATGGCCCCCAGCCCCAGCACCCTCAGGACTCACGGACAATCATGCGGGCACAAACATCACAGAACTTGGGCTTTTTGAAGTAATGATCTTTGAACTTGTGGGGTTTGTCATTGACAAGTTTCTGGGGCTCAGGAGGGGGCTCAGGCTCCTCCTCCTCTTCCTCCTCTTCCTCCTCTTCATAGATGTAGTAGATGGGTCCCCCTGAGGGGCTGACCAGCTCCCCATTGGGCTGCGGCTCTGGCTCCGTCTCCTCCTTGGGCTTTCGCTGGAAAAGTTGCTTCAGCTTCTGTAGCTGCTGGGGCAGGAGAGGATGCATTGCACACGACAGGCGTGTGGGGTGAGGCAGGTAGGCAGGCAGGGAAGCAAATGCCTGGCTCCCCACCCTTTTGCTCTGACCTAGAGACTCCTTCCCCAAGTGGAAGGAGACACCAGGCATCCTGGGGCAGAAATGCTGCGAGGATGGGGACCCTTCTTCTGGCCCCCTGATGTCCCCACAAAAGGAGAAACTGTGACTCCTGAGCACCACATGGATGTGGGCACCCTCGGGAAAAGCCAAGCTGGGAAATGGCCACCCAGTGCCCAGCTGGATCAGGATCCCACCGAGCATCCCTAGCCCCACAAAGACTCCTGGGGCTGAGGCAGAGGTGATGCTAGAAAGGTAGCTTCCCTCACTCACCCAAGCTGCCCTGTGGGCCCCCACTTACCCGGCTCTTGGGTTTCCCACCTGAAAGAGGTGAAGCTGGCGACTCTGGCACTTCTTTCTCTGTCATGCTATGAGGGGAAAAGAGAGACATCATGTTGGCTGGGGCTGTTGCCACTGCAGGTGCCCGGTGGGGACAGGAGCAGCCAGACCTTGCTGGGTGGGAAGCATGTCCCGAGCCAGTGCCTCCCTCTTCCCCAGCAGCACCACCTCCTGCCCTGCTGCCTGCAGCCTCTGCCCCAGCAAGGGCCAGTTCTGCTGCAGGTGAGTCCTGGCGCGCCCGGGGGCCCGCCAGGCCCCGCTGTGCAGGGCGAGCTGCAGGCGGCCAGCCCAGCATGCACGGCGCTGCTGCGTGCTAGGTGGACGTGGTGCCAAGTGCTGTGAGCCAGACCCTGGGCTACCTGCACGTGTCCATCCCTGTTCTAGACATCTCCATCACATGATTAAACTGCAAATGGTGCCACCCTCGGCCCCCTAAGACAAGCATGCCTATGACTGTCTGGCATCACCACACAGCCTGGTCACCTTCTCCACAGATGCCCCATGCTACCATGCGGGCAGGATTTGCTCCTGCATCTCCCAAAACATGCCTGACACCACCTTTGACTCTCAACCATCCCCACAGTCCTTTCTACCCAGACATCACTGTTTTTGGTGATACCTAACACAAGGCCCTCCACGGCCCCATGGAAACCAACCAGGAGGACCATCAGGGAAACAGTGATGGGGGCCGGGGAATCCTGGGGCAAGGGTGCTGCAGAAGCGAAGAGCCCAGGGGTCTTGCAGCAACGTGGGTGGAGCAGGGGCACACAGGGGTCAGTGGCCATGATGAGGGGGAGCCGCGCAGGGAGACATACTTACGCTGTGTTTGGAGCTCTTGTCCTGTGATGAAAAATGCCGCAAAGCGTGGCCGACGTTGGGGCCCTGTCGGCTGCGGAGCCCCCAGCCCTCTGTGCTGGGTGCGCAGGGAGGGGGGCAGCTACCCGTCCCGTGGAGAGCAGGAGTGACAGGCCAGAGGGGAACCGACAGCTGAGCGCTGGCGGAGGCTGACGCCGAGAAATTGGAGCCCATGCATGAGCCAGGAGGGGAGTGGGGTGGAGACGAGCCACTGGCTATTTGCGTTAGTGGGTTGCTGGGCGTGCCCGAGGCCCACCCACATCCTGGCATGGGGCAGCAGCAGAGCCAGGGCTGTTCTCCTTTGCTCTTGCACTTGAGGCCCCTGCAGCTGGGAGGTGAAAAGGAGAGTGGCAGCAGTGGGGTCTCTCATCGGTCACCTCTCATGGCTGCCCCGTATCCTCTGGCAGCAAATCCTGCTGGTCTGCTGAGACAGAGCTGCCACGGAGCAGAGCACTGGGAACCCCACTGCTATAATGCTGCCCTGCGGCGGATGCCAGGTCCTTGGAGCTGGACAGCCATCCCAGTGGCAAAGTCCCTGGACCTATGTCCCTGCAGGCTGTGGGCAGCAGCGGGGCAGCAGTTTGCACTAAGGCTGGGGTCGGAACCCACCCCTTCCAGGCAGCTCTTACCTCTCCATCTGCACCTGCTCTTGAAGGTAGCATCCAGATGCTGCAAGAGGCTCCAGCTGCTGTGTGCAATGCCACAGTGGGGTGGTGCGAGCCCAACTCCTGTACACACACATCAGGAGGACACAGCGATACCTGCACCTATCAGCTCAAGGGCTGCTCCCCTGTAATCAGGAGGAGCATGTTGCTTCCTGTCAGGCGATACAGCTGGGGACACTCCGCACCCCCATTCTTGCCATTGCACAGCTGCCTGGGGCCAGCAGCTGGGAAAAGAGGCTATGAATATCTGACAGGGGGGACCAGCCTCAGGTCAAAGTGCTCAGCGCTCCTCTCCCAGTCTCGGCAAGCCATGAGCTTGCAGCCCTTGTACATGCCAAGCACAGGGGCAGGACCTGGGCAGGGACACACACTCCTGTAATTGCCCTTTTGGCTCGCTGGCTCTCATCTCACCCTGAAGAGGCAGCACAGACAACCCCTAGCACTGATACTGGCAGAGAACAGGAAAGCAGTGTTAAAGTGATGGACAAGTTTTCTTTTTATATTTAAAAACATCCCCCCAAATAAAACAAAACAAAAATACCCCCCAAATAATAATCAGATTAAATAAAATGTGCAGTGAACATACCAATCAACATCTGTATGTGCGGTTCAACACAGTGCTTAACAAAACAATATACACAGGGTAAGGTGGGCGGGCACAGGCATCACTCAAAAAAAAAAAATTAAAAAAAATCAATTTCTTGTCTCTTAATTATGTCCATATAAATATATCCAGGAAGGAGGGCAAGAGGAAGGGCGGGCAGAAAGGAAAAGAGAAGGCAGAGGGAAGTGCCCGCAGTCCAGTGTGCTCTGTGCCCATGCGTGAGCCCTACTGTGAACTGGCACGCTCCAGCACCCGCAAGTCGTAGTTCTTTTTGGCCACACGCAGCTTGAAGCGGCTGAGGGAGTTGTTGAGGCGGAGGGAGGCATTCTGGGCAGCCAGCGGGCTGGGGAACACGGCCACGATGGTGTATAAGGCAGCAAGGTCACTGTGCCTGCCATTCTCTGGAGTCCCATTGTTGTCCCCGCCGCCTGCATCTCCACGGCGCCCCTGAGTCTCTTTGAGCCACTGGATTTTGGCACCAGCCATGGAGAGCTGGGTGAAGAGCTTGTCAGCCTCTGTCCGTGTGATGCCCTCGGGCAGGTCTGTCACCTCCAGCACTCTGCCCAGCACTGCATTGGAAAGACAGCACCTGTCAGCGGCAGCAGATTCTTGGGTGGCAATGGCACAGTGAGAGCTACGTGTGGGCTCCTCACCAGCTCTGGGGTTGGAGCAGTCACCTCTACTTCGCCCATGAAAGCAGCGCTTTACTAAGCTGCCCCCACATTAGGAATGTATTTTTTTTAAGCCAGTCACTTCTTCCTCCTCAAACTGCCTCTAATACCATTCTGCTCCCTACAGTGCCCCATCACGATAATTTCCGATGCCCACATCCGAGTCCCCGCATGGCCTGCTTCAAGAGGAGACCGCTATTTCCCATTTGCCTAGGGCTCCAGCAACACCAACTTCTCCTTGCTTCCTTTGGCTGGGCTTAGCTTTTCAGTTAGGGCTTTCCCAGGTGCTCTTCCTTGACTTCCTAACCCAATCCTTGGGTACCAGGATTGGAGCTAACACAGCTCTCCTGCCCTCTGTCCCTGGAAGGGAGAAAGACAGGCTGCACCCATGGATGATGTTGACACATGCAAATCCTGAATGTGAAAGTGCCCTGTGTGCTTCACCTACGGGGAGGATCCCCCTTGTGTGTCCAGGCCAGTGTCATGCCAACCTCTTTGACTCTGCTGTGTGGTACCCAAACACTTCTGCTGCCTCCTGACTCCAGCCCTGGCTTTTGGGCTTAGCAGAGGGCTGTCTGAATGGATTCTTTGCTAATATTAACACGGCATGTAATGAACATGCCAGCTGCAGGGAGAGCAAGCAGCTCTTAAAGGGCCCTCTACAACCAGCTGCTATTGGTGGTGGTGACATGGAGGTGACATGGGGGACAAGTCTGAAGCCTCCTGAAAGCCACTGAAGACTGCCTCCTTTCCAGGCTGACTGGCTCATGCCCAACTAGCAAGTCTTGTATTGCTGCGGGAAGAAGCCAGACACATGCCTCTCCTTCCCTCCCTGATGACCAAGTGGAGATGGCCCAGGGCAAGGAACAGGGAATCCCTTCCCCTTTGGAGAGAAATGATCCACTGGGAATTTCAGCCCTCAGAGCCACCCCTGGAAGCTCCCACAGCCCTTTACAAAGATGAGGGCTCTGCAGCTCCCAGCCCCACTGGGAAATGGAAGCATGAGAGGGAAGGGTCAATTGGGAAGGCAATAGTGGGAGCAAGATCCCAGGAGTCTGGACACTCACTTTCTGCTGACAGAGAGGAATAAAATCCCAGGATTTCTGACAGCTCCACCAACTCCATCATTTCAACCCTCACAGAGGCAGGAATAGGGCCCAGGTGTCCCAGTGCTCATCACTGACTCTCCAACAGTTTCTCCCCACTCTTCCTCAAAAGTTTTGCTCAGTTCAGGCAGTGTTTATTGGGTTCCTGAGCAACCACTGTCCTCCCACCTCCTGATGGGCACAGCTAACTGGGACTGACTCTTCTGCACACACCCCCACCTCCCCAAGTCAGGCTGCATGTGGGCTGTGGGGGACCTGTGTTTGTGTGCATGGCGGAGGTGGTGGCAGGCAGGAACTGCTCTCCACAATCACTCCCAGCAATGGGTTCTGTGGGATGCTGGTGTGGGCAGAGATGGCATCTAGAGTCTCTACATGGAGCCAGCTACACGCATGCAGTGGGGACTAGTCAGGAGAGCAAAGGCGGGGAACTGCTTGAGGCGGGTCACTTGCCTACATCACTTGTCCCAAGGTCAGTGGATGCTGACTTAAGGGCCTGTCTCTTGCTCCGGTTTCCATGTTTCATTCCAGTCTGCCCCTTAAAGAATAAAAATGGTAGCATGTCACCTGAGGAGACACCATGACCTCACAGTACCCACAGAGCATCCTGGGACTTGAGGGGGAAGACCAAACTTGACTAGGCCATGGCTGTGAAGAAGAATGAAGACACCTGGATGAACCTTGCACCTCCTGGCACCTTCGACATGACACCACACTTGGGTAAGTTAGATGAGATCAAGGCACAGCCATGGTTCCAGAACTCTCAAAGGACTTGGGGCTGACACTGCTTCTGGGCAAAGCTGGGAGCAGGATGAGATTTTAGTCCAGTGCCAGGCACTACGGAAATCCATTTACAACGGCAGCTCTGCCAGATGGATGGCAAGAACGTGGGGTAGGCAGCCTGCTACTTAATCAAGGGTTGTCCAAGCACAGGAGATCCCCTTCTTAACTACTCCTGGGCCCTGCCCATAAAGGGGTCCTCCAGGGGGGTGGGGGGCAGTCTTGCTCTGCTCCCAGGACAGTGAAAGGGTGGATGGGTGGGGGTTTAGCCCCTTTTTACCTGGTGTGCATTGTAGTTGGGCTGGTTGTGGAGCAGCGGTGGGGGACAGATAGACAGATTATACTGCAGCGGCTGGCCCAGCAATGAGTAGCGCCCATCACCTGCAAGAAGGAAGCAAATGCTTGTAGGGATCTGAAGAAAATCACAAGGAAGACCCAATGTTGTGCTGTCCCTACTCCTTCCCCTTACCTTGTGCTGGGCCCATGGGCCGGGGGAACTGTGTGAGGACAGGGAGGGGGCTTAGCCCCGTGCAGACACTGTTGAGGTTGGTGACAGGAGACGGCGTCGGGGATTGGGTGGGGGACGTGATGGGGCTGTTCAGCTGGGTGCTGGCCTGGGGGAGGGAGAGCGTTAGCCACAGTGCCTGTGACTGGTCCCATGCCTGTCTCACCACCATAGGATGACCCCACCCCCATCTCCCAACCCATCCAGAGAGCACAGATGCTGGGGTCCTCTCTCTCCCAAAGGCTGCTCCCAAAAGATGATCTGCCTTCTTCCCAGTCCTCTCAATACCTGAGCACTGGTGTCTGGGTTGTACAGGTCTCCTGGCTTCTGCCCCCGCTGGTCCAGGCTGTAGTACTTACAGTGGCTCCACTGCACCACAGGGGGATTCTGGGGGGCCTGGGGGCCATTGGGTACATTCAGCTGCATCACAACCACGCCAGGGCCTGATGGAGACACTCCTGGGGAGAGATGACAGCAGCAATATTGCCCAGGCTCTGCGCACTGCTGCTCACTGTCAGACAGAAGGCAGTCTGCCCGTCTGTGCAACTTTGCACTCTTCCCTACAACAGCCACTCCGTACTCTCTCCTCTGTCACTCCTGCCTGCCCAGGTGGGCTGAAAAAAAGGCCCCACCAAGACCCAGTCGGGATCCCTCTCTGATATCGCAGATTACACTACAGCAGAGAGTGATGACTCTTTAATCCAGGAGAAATGTGAGCAGAGCGGACAAGTTGAAGGCAACCTGGGTGATCTCTCTGAGCATCACACAAAAAATTCAGGCAAAGGATCTAATCACAGAGCTGGGAACAGAGCTCGAGTGTCCCAGTTCCAGCTCTTGCACCAACTCACTAGGCGCTAGCTCACTTCCCTGCAGCTGGGACAGGATGCAGGAATCCTGATGCTCCTCTCATCCACAGTGCTCCCAGGTCCCATGAGCTGCCCTGGTGACGCCAAACCGCGTTGCCAGCAGAGGGAGTCTGCAGCCCACAGCAGCTCGCTCTACCCGCTCCTGCCCTTGCCTGCCCACAATGGCAAGGAGATGCCAGGCACGGGCCAGCATCAGCCTGGAACAAAGCTGCTGTGCCATGTCCTGCTAATTCTCAGTGGGCTGTGGGATAGGTAAAACTAAGGAAACCCATTGCACAGAAGCTGCCAGACTTGGCTGTGAATTGACAGCTCTGTTCACTGCAGCCCCTACCGAAACCTGATCCAATCTGTGCAGAAGGAGTGACCAGTGGCCCCTCTTACCTGAATACTGCTGCTGCATCTGTGGCGGGCTGCAGGGTGATGGGGACTGTGGCATCTGATACTGTTCAGAGCCAGGTGGCTGAAGGAACCCCACCGAAGGGCTGTGAAGCAGAGAGTGCTCTGGTGAGGGGATGAGGAGAAACAGCCTGCACATCTGTGCAGGCAAAAACCAGCTCCCTCAGTACTTGAGATGGCTGGAAACACAGCTGCCTCTGGAGGAGCACAGGAAGCACTGCACGCTGCAGGACAGCTGTGTCCAGGAAGTGCTGACTATGGGAGCTGGGACTGGGCAAGCTCGAGAGATGATCAGCATCTATGGTGCCCAGCCACCTCCTCTAGCTGTAGGAGTAGGATGCTAGGCCCTTTCAGCAGGGCAGCAGGACCCTTTTCTCCCCAGGGCAGGCCAGAGATAAAGAAGCTTTACCTGGTGCCGTTCTGCTGAGCAGTTGGAATTACGCTGTAGTAGATGGGCACCCCTCCAGCCTGAAGCCCCCCCTGAACAGACTGGCTGGCTGGTACAAGCACTGACTGCTGGAAGGGCTGCTGGACCACACTCTGGGATTCACTGGCCACAGGAACCTGTGCAGGGAGGAAAGAAGCAGCCTTGTGGAATGACAGGTAACAAAGAGCAGGAGCAGGGGGAACTGGCCCCAAAGAGACACCAGTGAGGTCCACACAAGATCGAAGAGATGCCAGATAGTTGTCCCGAGCAATCTCGCCCAGGCAAGGGCAGCCCCTCTCAGCTCTTCTGCGAATGCAATGGTGAAGGGACCAGTTGCACTCAGTCCTCCTTCTCGTTCAAATGTGGACATGCATTTCCCAAGCTGGAAAGCATGCACGGTTTTCTCGCGGTAAGTCTCCATCTTTGGCTCCATCACTCAGGCACAGGAACAGGGCACTTCCTGCAACGCCTGCCCAGCTGAGGCCCCCTCCCAGCAGTCCCTCATCAGAGAGCAACTGATGCCTACCTGGTACGAAGGCAGTGGAGTGTACTGGACCATCAGACCTTGCATCTGGCTCCCCATACTGCTCCTCTGGCTGCTGAGAAGGCCAGGGGGCTGCGCCTGCTGCACTCCCATCATACTCTGCATCTGGCTCCCCATGCTGTTCCTCTGGCTGTTGAGGAGCCCGGGGGGCTGTGCCTGCTGCACTCCCATTACACCTTGGTATGTTTGCTGCTGGTTGGACATCACTGGCTGTAAACCTACCAGAACAGGGTTTAAATGGAGCAGCTTCCCAGCTGGCCACAGGAGACAGTCTGTCTGAGACTTGGCACATGAGGGCTCAAATCCTGCTCTGCCCCCATCTCTTGCTAAAGAGTGGGAAAAGGGTTTCCCTTAACGGCAGATGTAAAAAGACTTGAAAGAAGCTCCTGGCTTCAAATCCACCTTGCAGCACCTCAGTGCATGCTACAGTCTGAGAGGGAGGGAAAAGACTAAAAACAGCTTTTGCAGCCAGGCCAAGTTTCAACTTTCCTTTGCACAGTCAAGAGGCACTCTAGAGTCAGCAAGTCCAGCAAAGACTAGGAGACAGGGAAGAGCAGACGGGCCCCAGACAGTGCATGGGAGATCCTTAAGAGCCAACAGGAATGGCAGGAAAGAAAAACATGCTCCCTCCCCCCTTCTACGCCCCCTTACCAGGATGCTGGGACTGCTGGGGGAGCTGCTGAGTGCGCTGGGAGCTGTAGGCCACTGGGTGACTGAGAGATCGGTATTGCTGGCTGGAGTTCGGGTACTGCCCGGGAGGGTAGTAAGAAACCTGAATCTATCAGAATCAAGAAAATGGCGATGAGAACACAAGAGGGAGTGGGACCAAGAAAGCTGGTCCCCCAGGACCAGTTTTCTCTCTCACCTGGCCTGGCTTCTGCCGAAGGAAACCAACCAGGGCTTTGGCTCTGGCCAGATGACAGCTCCTCAGGGAACCGCAGCCCCTTCCCGCTCCTCCCAGCCTCCACATCCAAGCCTTTCCCAGCACAGTAGTGCAAGAGTACAGTAGGCACAATTCTCATCACAGCTCAGTGTAACAATCCTAGAGGTCAAAATGCCCTGCAGGACCCCAAATACAGCTTAGAGGTGTCAGCCCTGAATCTGGTCACTGTCCCTCCCCCAACACTATGAGCCAGGAATGGCCAGAGGGTCCCCAGATCAGTGCCTTGTGAGCTCAGAGGGACAAGGGGGCAGAGATCATCCTGTGACTAGCAAGGGTGTGTGCCGACCCGGAGCTTGGACCCCTGTGTATTGATCCATCGCAAATGAACTGCAGAAAAAGAGGGGACCCACTCTCAAAGAACAGTTTTCTGGACTGCTCCCCAGCAGCCCCTTGCCTGACAGCTTTGGGCTGAGACGCACATCCCCTCCAGGCTTTGCACATGTCCTTACTTGCTGGGGAGGCTGAATGTAGCCCTGGGGCTGCAGCACCTGCTGTGTGGGGGCTGTGTGCCCTGAGGCGGAGTAGTTGGAGGTGGGAATGGGCTGCCCAGGGGTTGCCATGATGAATCCTGTCTGCTGGGGATGCTGGGAGATGAGGGATGACTGGAACATAGCCGAGGAAGGATCCGGTGCTTCCGTAGAGCCCTGTCGGCTGAGGCTGATCTGCCCAAAGGGGTTGCTGAGTTCATCGGCCTGCATCGGGGATAAGTGGGAAGGATGGAGGAGGACAGCATGTAGGACAACAGCATGTAGGACATTGCTCTGCTGAATAGAATGCAGATCACTTCTCCCTACTCTGCGTGGAGGAGCTTGCCCAAGAAAGGTTCCCAGAAATGAGCCACAGACCAAGAGCATTCTGCAGAACAGGGGGTAGGGGCATGCGAGCTGCTGGGGGGGCCCAAATACTCAGCAGACACTGGTGACATGCGGGGCCCCACATAGGCAGGGATGGCCCCAGCCTAGAGGCCATGTCCCATAAGTTGTGTGCCATTCCCAAAAGACCCTGTGGAGACAACACAGGGGCTGACTGAGACCACAGAGCAGCCATGGACCTAAAGCCCAGTGCTGGGCACAAACTTTACTTCCTGGTGGAGCTCTGGGCTTGGCACTTGCTCTTCCCCAGGCTTCTTCCAAGATCAGCCACTCCAGCAGTGCCTGGTCCTAGTGGGCCCTGATGGGGCCCACAGCCTCAGGCATCCCAATGCCTTGACCCCACTGCAGTGCAGAGCCTCCATGAATCCCAAACCCACTGGGTGCAGCGTCTGCAACACACCTGATTAGCAAAAGCTCATACAAACACAAACACAGCACGAGTACAACAGAGACACAGTGCAGAAGAGGAAATGGGGTTTATACCAAGTTGTACTGCTGGGGTGGAGAGACTGGCAAGAGGACTTGGGGGCAGGAGCTTGGAGAATACTGAACAGGCTGCAGCGCTGGGACCGGCTAAGACCAGCAGAGAAGGGAGTGGAGGAGAGAGATTTGGGTGGGAAAAGGGTGGCGGGAGGGGGGGAGGGGATAGGAGGAAGGAGAGAAAGAAGGAACAAGGTTAGTCAACTGAGCCAATTGCAAACACACAAAGAGGGGCATTGCAGAGGGTTGGAAAGCACAGAGACCAGAACGGGGAAGCATTCCTCTCTCTGTGAAGACACACAGCCCGGCCAGTTGCTTTGTGGAAACTGGGAAGGCTGACCATGTCCACAAAGCAGTTCTTGCCTGGTATGAACAGTGACACAAGTTCACAAAGGCCAGCTACAGCCAACAGCAGAAGGAGACCCACTTTTCCCCAGCACAAACTTTGTGTGTCTCCCACTCCCACTTGCGTGTGGTGCTGACTCCTAGCGCGCTCTGCAGTGTTTCTTGGCCTTTCCTGCTGGTAATGTCTTTTCTTCACTCTTGGCTTCTGTAGGGGCCCTTCTCACATTGTCACTGGGAGGACCTGCTGATGTTTATGACAACACCTAACTCAAGCACCACATACTGTGCTTTGGGCACCAAACCTGTGGTCGGTGCTGGATTGTTTTTTGATCATCTGATTTGACTTTTGGTGAAAGAGAAGGTGCATGCACATCGGGGACAGTACATTTTCAGACCTTTCACCAACAGTCAAACACATGAAAAAAGTTTCTCCAGGACCTAAACCATCAAAACAGCCAAACAGTAGAAGACAGAAAATAAAACCCCAGCAAGATGCAGTGATCCTGCTGCACAAGCTCCAAATGCCTGCTTATGTGTTCAAACCTCCCACCCAGGGCACTGTGCTCTGTCCCATGCCATGCTACAGCTCCAGACAGACACTCCTGCTAGCCTTAGCACTGGACCCTTGCTACCTCAGGGAGAACCGAGATGTTTCCTTTGAGTCTCAGTATCCTCTGCAAACAGATCCACACCCCTGGAGCCAGTCCAGGGCCCAAGAACTACAAGCTTGCCTCATCCTCATACAGACAGCAACAGACAGCAAGGAGCTGTGTATGTTATCTGCAGTAAAAGCTGTTTGAGGAGGCTTCATTCCTCCTCCCATACCATCCCTTTGAAACCACTCAGGATCACAGAACAGCCTGGGTTGGAAGGGACCTCAAAGATCATCTGGGCCAACCTTTCATGAGAAAGGGAGCCTAGCTAAGATTGTCTAGCATCCTCCCTGTCCAGTCACATCTTGAAAACTTCCAGTGTCACTCCAGTGTAACTTGCAGTTCTTTGCCGTAGCAGACATTGTAAGTATGAGATGATGCACCAGAAATGATCCCTATAAAATGGATAGGCAGGCTGAGGTCCAGCACTGACATGCTGCTCTGAATAGGGCACGATGGGAAGGTACTGAGGATACTTCCCATGCACACCACCCATCTCTGCACCCACTGAGGCAGCTTTGCTCTCCAAACGTGCCCACCAGGGCTATCTCCCACACCTTCCCCAGTCCTGCAGTGGTACAGGGGCAGCTCTTGTACTGTGTTTTTTAACAGCCTCAGGAGCAGAAGAAGTATGTAGGAATGTCAGCCACGAGTACTTTCCCAAGGGCTCCATGCTCAGAAATAGCCCGAAGGCTGTGGAACATCACACTTGGGTTTAACTTGGGGAGGGTCTGTAGAATACACCCAGACATAGTCCCAGGTCTGCCTCTCCCCGGGACATCAGGTTACCAGCCACGGGACTTCAGCACTGGGGAGCTCAAACCCAACTATCACTTGGGACTGTCCCTCACCAGGAGGGCAACTGGTTCCAGAACATTAACCCTGCCGCTCAGCAAAGGGCTACAGATCCCTTGCCAGGATGGCTGCTGGCCTGAGCAGATACAGAAGAGACTGGCAAGTTGAGATGTTGCACAGCATCATATTCAAGCACAGCAAGGCCCCCGGCCTTCTCCTGCTCTCTGCCAATAGCACAAAGGGTCTGTCACTACTCCTTAACAGGCAGCAAGTGTGAGTACACCCAAAACCCACTGGGCAAGTGCGAGTCCACAGCACCCTGGGTGTATGCTGGCTCTGCTTCGATCTCCCACCTGTGTGCCCAAGGAGCTTACTGAGCCCCAGATACTGTGCAACTCACCTGGGATATCATGTGGTTACTCATGGCTGGCTGCTGTTGGGCTGCAGGTGGAAGTCCTTGGGGCTGTGGTGGTGGCTGTTGGGGTGGCTGCGGTTGAGGCTGCTGGGCTGTGCAGGGTAGGACGCCACGGCTGGGCTGTGAAGAAGGGGCTTGGCTGCATGCTTCAGGGGCACCTAGTACTAAACCTTGAACAGAGAAAGGCATGGCAGGGTTGGTACCTGGGAGAGAAGAACATTGATTCGTTGATGGGGAAGGTGGGGGGTAGATCCTGTCTCTGCAGGGGCATCACTACCTCCTGTACTGCAGCCAGATTGCCTTCTCTGCTGTCCGCATGGGAGCTTCCACAGGGGACAGGCCAGGGCGGGGACACACACAGACACCGACAACTTTCACATGAGCAGGCTGCAGGCTAAGTCACTAATCTGCCTCTGCTTCACAGCAAATCAAGGTATTGACACCCTCAGGACTCCAAGTGATTGTACCTCTCTCCTCTCCATGTACACACACTGACCCTCCACAGCTGGTCACAGCATCTTCTTCTCCCCCTGACCTGTGCATGCCCTGCCCCACACAGGGAAGATGAGGATGCAGTTCTTGTTTCAGACTATGGCCACGAGTTGTACGGCTGTTATTCTCAAGAGCGTGCTCTCTTCCCTCACCCCAAGCTAGCACCCTCACTCCAAGCACCTACACAGTGGTTCCCACCCACAGCTCGCAGGTAGTTGCTGTTTGTGTAAACCTTCAACACTCCTCAGAACTGCAGGAAATTAAAAGGCCAATGCCAGGCTCATATGATGAATCTAGCTGGCCTTTGCACGCAGGACAGTGCATGCTTGGTGCAGGTGCTGGCAGGATTGGCACAGGGTAGTAAAAACACATATGTGTTGCAACTGATTCTTTGGGAGGAGTGCGTCCTCTGTCTTGTCTGGAAAGCACCAGGCCCAGGTCAGGGTCTTCTACAAATGCCATGGGCCTTATGCTGGGAAGAAGCTGGCTGTTAACAGCAGCACCTGCCTGGTGGAGGGCTCTCCACCTCAGCATGAGGCAGAGATTACAAAGAGAGAGAGCTGCCAGAAACACTCATGACAGCTCAGTACCATAAACCCATCTGTGGAACGAAGCTGGAGAGCTGTTCCCAGTCACAGCTCAGTTCTGCAGCTAGGCATGGCCCCGGCTCAGACACTAATACGTCATCATGATCTGTTTGAGTTCTTGGCCAAAACAGAGAGGGGAGCAAAGGAGTCACATTTTATGGCCACATAGATCCAGCACATGCACCTCTTGAGTAAAAGGCTAAGGGGCGGCAGGCTGAAAGCAATTCCTTCCCATGACAGGAAAAAAATTGTTAGGAGGAAGTGTGATACATGCTGCAAGGCACCCAGCTGGGAAGTGCTTTCCTCAGTATTTCAGTCTTACTTCCAGAAATAAAATGGCTATGAAACTATTGCTTGATGCCCAGTAGCTGCTATTTAACTAACCGCTTCTGATCTACTGCGTTTCAACAGCTAATCTTCAGGCATTCTACTAAGGAGGTCTGTATCATCAGCCACATGGTGCAAAGGAGGAAATATTTTGCTGACAGTTGCCCAGAGGCTGAGCTTTGAGATGGGAAAAGAGCCCCAGAATCCTAAGTACTTCCTCCCCCACAGAATAAACATGAGGATATGGAGGGTGGTGGGTCCCGTGTCCCGTCCATTCCACCCCCCTCCCCCCAAAATTCCTTAGCTCCCCCCGCCCAAGATGTTTCTAATCACTCGCCATTATAGAAGCCAATTGCTCTCCAGGCTTTATTTTCCCAGGGGAGACCTGGAGGAAAAATACAGAAAGAGCAAAAAAGCAGATCCTCTCTTGCTCTGCTTTGCACACAGCTGGGACAGATCTTCAAATAACTGCTCCCATCAGTTGATGAATCAGTCCCAGAGGTGGTTGCAATAATCAGAATAAGTGCAGCCCTGAGCACAATGGAAACAGGGTCCCAAGAGATGATGTAGGCACCTTCAAACTGCAAGATGAATGTATGGTTTTCAAAGCTGGCCCGGGTGCTAGAACAGCAGCCTGGCTGCCTTTTAGATCCATTCCTTTTATTTGAAAGGATTCTTGTGGAGCAGTCTAATCACCACAAGCACCAATTTGCCTGCCATCCCCAGTAAAATGACAGCTCTCAAGCATTTGGGGACCTGCTGCCTACCAGTGAGAATGGAGGAACCTAGACAGCGAGACAACGCTGGGTTTTGCTCATTGATACTGGGCAGCAATTGTAACCAGCTACCATATGGCTCCTCAGCTATCACCGGACCATTCAAATGACAGCAAAGACCTGTGCTGCCTCTTCCACAAATGCCTTTCACAGGCAGGCAGTTGAAAATAAAGGACTATGCTCCCCAGTGATAGAAGGGCTGGTGCCCTGCCAAGTGCAGCACACATCCTCTCAGGAAGCTGTTGTCAGTAACAGGTTACCAGTGATGCCCCACAATAACATTCTCCGTGCATGGGCTACCTTTTGTGTTACCTAGATGGAAAACGGAAGAACTGATCTGAAGCAGGCAGAGACATCCGTGATCCTAATTCACTTTGGTGCTCCTGAAACCTTAAGCTGTATTCAACAGCTCTTGAAGAGCTGCAGGCCCAGCTCCCTGCTGTTATGTTTGCTCTCAGGAGTACAGTGAATCATTTTGAGAGAACATCGTAGGCAGATACCAATTAATGCAGTATTTGTCTGATGAGATAGACTGTGTGTCTGATGAGACAGACTAATTGGTGACACCCTTCCCTGGACCTCCTTTGTTGGAAAGCAAAGAGAAGTGCCAGATGGTTCACCCTGACTAAGTATCCTTAGGGCTGTGAGGGATTCTGGGGAGCAGAAAGGAATGGCCACATAACTTGCAGCAGAGAAGGGGAGAGAAAACAACAGAAAATTGGTAGCTTGAGTTCCAGGGTATGGGACTAAACAATGTCCTTTGTCTTAGATAATTCTGCTAAAGGGAAGGAAGATCTGATGGTGAGTACTGAAAAAGCAGATAATGAACCAACTGGCATATCCCTGCCCGGGTACTGAACACATTCAGATGATGCCAACCATGTCCCATTTTAACCAGTCACTGACGAGACCATCAGGAGCCCCGGTCCCCCAGCCCAAAGACTATGTCTGCTAGGTGCCCTCTGGCAGAAGGTGTGCAGGGGAGACAGTACAGTACCTGCCCGGGACGTTCTGCTGGCAGTGCTGCCTTTGCTACTCCCGATGCTGTCCCCCCGTGTCAGGATGGAGATGCCACTGAAGCTGCTGGCTTTGGTAACAGGTGGTCGCAGGTTGCGGATGGAGCCATCTGAGTCTGTGCTGCTCCACGGCCGGGGCTCCAGTGACTTTATCTCGCTCTCTGTGCTGCTCTGGCGGCTGCCCGAGGCCCGGTTCAAACTGTCCCGGTTGCCCCTGCAGAGACCGGAGGAGTTAGACCATCCCTCCAGTGGAAAGGGGCAGCAGCAGAACCTGCAGGTGCCGCGGCAGGACTGCCACACTAGGGTGGTGAGCCCAGTCAGCAGCTGGCTCTGTGACACAGCACCTTGGCACTTTGTTTGCTGCCAGATCCCTATACAAACACCCTGGGTCACAGCTTTCTTGGGCATGCACTGTGAAGACCCAGACATTGATGATCTTCATTGGTGTGTATTGAGAGCTGGTTCCTGGCCCTTTTCCCTAGCCAGATCCCAGGTTGGAAGAGATGCCAGCAGGGTCAGAGCATGATCTCTTGCTAAAGCCCTCCCTGTCTCAGTACAGGGAGCTTTTAACAGAGGCCTTGAGACACAGCTGATTGAGATCTTGCGAGACCACTTTCCATACCAGCCCTGATAAGGCTTTCTGCCCAGATGGAACAGCTACATGCTGAGATATTGCTATGCTCAGAGCTGTGCTCCCACTGATCACTCCCTCTTAGCCACAGGCCAGGTCTGGCCACAGCAAGACTTTACAGAGTATCAGCAAAACACCCCAAGCAGTGAGCCTGGTTTAATCAGCCCAGCTAAGGATCATAAGCACAGTAATGGGTTCCTGGGCCTTCACTGGGGAAAAACGGTGAGGAAGGCAATACTGGAAGAGATGCTCATATAATGCTGCAGGCTGAGCCTGGCAGCAGCTCCATGCAGTTGTGGAGGGGAAAAGATGGGCTTGGAAAGAACTTCTCAGGTAATGTCCTGGGCTGCTGGGAGACAAAGAAAATACATCTCTTGGAAAAACAGTACAATGGTTATATCCCTAAAGAGGTGAAGGAATTGGACTATGCAGCCTCAAACACCAAATTACAGTTGATCTAACAAGCATCACTGTCAAGCTCTTGGGCTCTCTCCAACCTAAACTCTGAAGGCTCCTCCTCCTGGTGGGGAGCCGTGTTTGTGTGTGCAAGCAAGTGGCATGTCAAGCTGATTACTGCTAACTCAGCAGTGTAACGGTTCTGCTTTTTCTGCTAATGGTCTCTAAACTCCAGGCACACTACCACACCCTTGCTCTCTGAAACCACTGCCCTAGCAGCTTCGGTCATGCCTTTCGCTTCATGAGCCTTACTACAGCCTGTTTCCAAGCATGTCCACCAGCAGAGCGCTCTCTGCAATTGTATCTGTGCTTCAGCAGCATTAATATGGGACTTCCAAGCGAGTGAAACAGACAGCTGTATTGGTCTGAACGCTCGGCTTTGAGGGCAGTATGTCTCTGGAGTTCACACAGACATCAACACCACCACTGAGGGAACCTCAGTCTCATTAGGAGCTTGTCTGTCCAGTGCTCGAAATGGTCCCAAGGCCCACATATCCTCCCTCTCCCCGCTACAGGAACTACAAAACAAAGACAGGAGAATAACCAAGCTCTTTAGGGACTGGGCACAAACTGAGTCAGAAAAGATCCTAGCACAGCCCTGGCTCAGCTCCTAAAGCTGCAATCACATCAGTAACTTTTTTTTTTTTTTTTGGCCACTTGCTGGGTGAGCTTTACCACAGGCCCATGGCTGATCTGAAAACTACACCTCCTGCCTTGAACACCACTGCCACACACAGTCTCCAGGACACAGTCCCTTGTAACTGTGCTGAGGACACTTAATTTGCCATGCCAGTGTCCCTCCAAGGACAGCCTGAGCCATGTGACGGACTGCGGAGAGGGGCAAAGCTGTTCCTAAATTTGCTTAGATCCTCCTTGTCCTCTTCACACATAAAGATGCTTCATATCTAGAGCTTTGACTATTAAACGGGAAGACAGCAGGCATCAGGGTCTCTCCATTTTCATCCTGTTTACCATCATACCTTCAGCAGCCTCCTGCAGCAGGGGTCTGCGCAAGGTGATTCGTCAGGCTAACTCCATCCTTCCAGCCCTTTCATCCACAGAAAGACTACTTCATAAGAAAATGCTGCTCAAACATGTTCCCAGTGCCCTCTGCAGCACAATCTGCTTGAAATGGAAGTCTGAGACACTTCATTGCCACCATTAAGTAATCCAGTCTTTATAATCAGGGATTAGGGACAACCCCACCTTATCTGGATACTGATCCTGTCATTATAAGGGCAGGGGCCTTCCTATCACTCTTGGGAAACAAGTGGCAGAATGGTTTGAAAACTGCTGTAATCCTCTAGCTTCCCCATTCCTCCCTGCCATTCCCACCTTCCACCCCTCCGTTTTAATTGATGGATCAGCAAAAAAGGACTCAGAAATTGATGTTGCAAAAAATACAACTTCAATAACTTCACAAGCAGCCATGCATGGGGCAAACTTACTCAGCAGGACAATGTACAAAGTACGTCACACAGAGATACCTAAAAATCTGCCTCCGTTTGTGAGAACTAGAAGAAAAGCCTTCTTTGGAGATTCTGTCGGTTAACATCAGAAAAAAGCATCATTATAGAGTCATGCAGTCCTCCATAGAGAAAGCCAGAGATACAAATAGCGTCTGCTAAACAGTACTAACCTGCTGTCGGTGAGATATCCATTCTGGCCAGTCTGGAAGCACAGAAAAGACATGGAGATGGGAAGGAAAGAAAAGGGAGACTTCGTAACTTTGAAAGCAACAAACCCAGGCAATTTCAAAGCAAAGAGGAGCAAAGCACTAACAGTATGGGACTCGGACAGAGTCTGTGTTGTGCACCAGCTATATGGTCACTCAGGAGTCTTGCTGAGCCTTCTGCACACCAGTCCCATTCGGCTCTCCATCCAGGCCCATTAGGAACCTTTCCTGATACTCGTGACCCTCAAATCTCTCGAGAGTTTACAAATCTGAATCCTCAACTCCCTACTTCATTGCTCTAAGGCAGCTTTGATGGTAGCTTTGTCAGTAGAACAATCAAGGCCAGACATACAAGGGTCCTTATTTGCTAAATGCAGGCACAATTATCAGAGCCATGAAAAAACCGCAGAGGGCTCAAAGCCAGCCCAGCCCACCCTGTCATAGTCACCCCTGCCTCTGGAAGTCAGACGCAAAGCGCTGGCTCAGCCCATGGACACAGAGCAAGGGTAAGTACATGCCCACTCAAGGTTGTGCGAACATGGGACAGCACCTGCTCTAGTCCAGGACTATAGCCAGAGCTGCTTACTAACATGCCTGGATGGCTTTGGGCCTGTGCATGTTAAGACAGGTCCATGATCACAACTGGCTGGCGAGTCATCAGCTGAAGCCTGGTGACTTAACCAGGGACTCAGCACGGTGGCTGCCTTAACATCATCTTTAGGCAGGCACGTGGCAATTCCCATTAGGACAAATGAAAGGTGTCATCCCCAAGATGCTCAAAAGCAGCAGGCAAGGAGCTGGCCTTTGAACATGATCCACAGCAGATGGGCACTTGGAATCGTCCCCGATGCCATCATTTGCCACTTGGCACAGCATGGAGAGCTGCCTCCAGCTGGGACACAGTACTCACCACAGCAGAGCGCAGCAGCCTCTCTCAGCCAGACCTGAACACAGCTCCAGCTTAGAGGAGTTCCACATAGGGAACAGAGACGTCAAGGAAGCAATAACCAAGCTGGACACTTTGTAAGAAGGACAGTAAGTGTACTGCCCAGATTTAGCCTGTAAAGGCACAGAGCCCTGCCTGATACTCCAAGGCCAGCACTGCTTGGTCACAAGGTCAAAGCTGTAGCACTGGAGAGAAGCTAGGGGAGACAGCTGCTGCTCCTTACAGGTTCATTCATTTGCTACTCATCCCATAAATGCCACTGCATAAGCCTATGATCTTGCTGGGCTGCAAGGAGCAAAACTGCCTCCTCTGTCAGTCCCCACACAACTATTGCCCACTGAAACAGGCAATTTAGGGAAGGAGCAGACTGGGGAATGGAGGTGTGGCTCCTCTATCTCAATATCTTAAGCCATCTTTGTTAGGAGCTGGAATTCCATGGTAGATACCAAGAACACTGGGAAATTTGTAGAAAAGGCAATGATGAGATCTGACCTCTTAGTACACTCAAGGACACCTTCTGCCACAAAAGTTCCAGGAGGGTACCTGGCAAGTGAGTCATCCAAGCTTACCTCTCGTGCAAATATCCGCTCCCTGACCCGCTGATACTCTTCTTCTCGCTCTTCTATAGATTTGCTCCTTCTCCCATCCTGCAAGGGGAGTCTGATCTGAAGGGACAAACACATCTCAGCGCGTCAGCAGTTGCCAACGGGAGCAGGGGGCACAGTCAGCTGCTGCTATTTTTACGTAGTGGTGTAAGTGGATGTGGATTACGGAGTGTGTGCATGATGCCTGGATGCAATGACACAGCCTCTGCCTTTGAACCTACCTCCTGGACACCTATGTCTAGGGATGAACATCCTGGAGGTCTTAGTGCACTCCACCTCCTGGATCAAGTACAACCACTCTGCCTGAACTCTGCCTGATTCGGAAAGCACAGATTAGGAATATCACCATGTACTTCTGAAAGACAGTCTATTCCCAGGGGTCAAAAGCTAAAGGCCATTCTTTGGAGCATATGCCAACACAGTAAAGTCCTGCTCCACCGTGGATTCCGTGCTTCACGGGTAGCTGCATCACCTGCGGAGTGCCACCATGGGGAAACCAGAAACTGATGCTGATTGCAATGACCAGCTCCCCATCCTGATGACTTAACTTCAGAAACATGACCCAAAGCAAGGGATAGTGGTATGCTGGTGCGATGTAAAGATGGGAGCTACAACAGCAAGGAGCATGAGATCCCTGGTGAAGAGGTCTCCTATCTCTTACCCCATTTTTGACATTGAAGATTTTGTCTGACACAGGCTGGGAAAACAGCCACAGATGAACAAGCTAGCTCTGTGTTATGGGTGTAGTGCCACCTGTGACAGCCTGAAGGCAGCCAGAGATTCAGGAGGGTTTTTAGCTCCGATGACTGGCAATGCTGCTGAGCATTCAAAAGTGTTTCATTTTGCCGATGGTTTCCTTCCAGCAGCGCTGTGAGGTCCTGATGACTTCACAGCTTGACTTGCTGCAAGCCCCAGAGACGGGTGGGAGAGATGATTGGCGACACTCAGGTCTGGGGCATTTCCAAGGAAATCTCAGCAAAAGGCTTCACCTTAAAACCTGGCCCAGCCATCAGTCGATATTCAGGGTACAGAAAAGTACCTCCCATAGAACTCACACAAATTCTTCATGCATTTCCACAGTTTTTTTTAAAGTTTTCATGATATATATAGATGCTTCTGCTTGGGTGGGGTCAAAGCTTCCATTATGGAAGGTTACTGCAGGAAATCCAAGAGAAATTTAGAGTTGTTCTCATCTTCGAAAAGTTGCATTTGACTTCCATAAAGTATGCAGAATCCCCACTGTCACCCCTTACCTGATTATCATCTCGGTCCATGCTGGTGTCATCTCGTTTTAGGATAAACCTCTGCGGGAACTCTGCATTCTTCTCATCTTTGATGTGCTCAGAGAACCTCTGCTCAGGGCTGCAGGAAGAACCAGCCCTTGTTAGAAGGGCAAAAACAGGCACAGAACTGTCTTCATAAAACCACTGCTTTGCAGGGAGTGATGGGGAGAACGCAAAGATGTTTGCTGGGTCAAATCTCTCCTCTGTCTGATGGCAACAAGAGCTCCTCCCCCTTCTCTAAGAACTAAAGAGAGCTAGGAAACACTTGCAAATACATACACTTAGAACTGGAAGCGAACAATTCTCTTCTAGACAGGGGACCTGCCCTTCTTATGGAGGCAAAATATTGTCATGTAGAATCCATCCTGCTCTAGACCATGCCAGGGTTCTATGTCTGGGGGTCATGTAGCACCATGCAGGGAAGGGAAGGGGATGCCAGGCCAGTTGTTCTCCCTCCACCCCTCCTTACATTCGTGTGTTACTGGTCTTGTTGATAATGACCGCCTTCCCAGTTTGGTCAACGTTATGGTCCATGCCGAAGTACGCAGCTACCCGGTGCAGCAGCATCCTATGATATGAGGTCATCTGAGGGAACTTCTTAAACTGATTGCTGAGAAGAGGGGAGAAAGCATTAGAATTTAGAAGGTCTTGAAACAGACAACAATAATCTGACACCAAAAGAGATATCAAGGCCAGAGACACCTTAACTAGATCTCAGATCAGACCATGCCACCTATTCAAAGCAGTTGGTCATGACTCAGGTGCTGCTTGTTACACTGAGCATGAGCATGGGCTTACACTGCTTTGCCAGACAGTGTTGGGCTGATTCAAGGGCTCAAGTTGAATAGGCTTTTCCTGAAAAAAGACCATCTTGTGCAGAAATGCACCTGTTTGTTTCTAAGCAGGAACAGGAGGCAGAATTAGTACTTACGCTGCAACTTCTCCGATCCTATTGGATAAAGAAGTTTGCCAGCTCTGCTACAGACACCTATCCCACATTGTGGGATGTGAATCCTGCCCCTGGTTTCTCAACCCCCAATTTAGCTAGGAAGAGAAGCACCATGGCACTAATCTCCTTCACCGTGGATATGATGTTAAAGCAATTGATACCAAATCAATATAATACTCAGAAACCTTGTGCATGGATGAAAGGAGGTTGAGCATGTACAACAAAACAGTCCTAACCAGTGTGTCCAAAAGACACTCCCTTCTCCCCTGAGTGCCCAAGCTCCCTAAACTGTACATTACAAACCTCTTTTGCTTGACACAAACTTGATGATCACTTACTTGTTATCACTAATAAATTCCAGAATCTCCTGTTCTAACTTTAGTAGCATCATTCTATCCCTGTCAAGTAAAGAAAAAGGCCACCTTTAGAAACAGTGAAATACAGCTTTCTCTGCTTGGTACCCCCCTCCCTGCAACAGAGAAAAGTCACAAATACCTGGAGCAAGCAACACTATTAACCAGGTTTCACACAGCCTCCACAGGAATGGACTAAAAAACTCCAAATTTTTTCATACACAGTAAATAAACTGCCAGATTTTTTTCAATTTAAAGTTGTTGTTTTGCTAACAGTGCTTGGCTTTTGGTAATATTGAATCTCTGCTCTGCTGGAAGCTCCACTGGTAGAGTACTCCAGCTTTCTCCTCTTATGCCAGCATTTGGCTTGATTACATTTATTACTAACACAGCAGCAGTTCCTTTAGAGGTTGGTATTTGACAATCATTTATAGAAAGGGTTTTAAAGCAATCAAGATTCCTTCCTGCTTGCATTCAAACAAATTATTTTTCTTCTTTCTCTCTCTCTGTAATACACAATTACATGTTTTGATTGACTGCAGCATATAAAATTACAGTTGTGCTTTTTGTTTCTACACTGCCCCAGCTCTAGTAATGCTCTCTGAATTCCAAAAAGTAAAACACACTTTCAGGCACTTTCTGTAGTTTCTGTAGTTGCTGTAGTCCCCCCTCCTCCCAAGATACATGAATACATACATACATAAACATACGTGCACACAAACACCACGGGTTTAAGAGTCAATCAAAGAAGCATCGGTTGCCAGGTACTCCCTCCCTTCACTCCATCAGAAGTTGTTTTACTGACTAGGGACCTACCGTGGGTTTTTTTTCAGTGTATTTACTAAAAATTCATGCAAATCTATTCCAGTGGAGTCTGTATATTCCTGGCTGGAATCTGAAACAACAACAGCAGCAGAACAAATTAACAAAACACTGCAATAGAATAGGCTGAAGGGAAGAGGTGTGTGCCTCACTACATGCATGAGGTTGATGTCCCCACATTACTGCCAGAGGAAATTCAGCCTCATTCTCAGCACGGACTATTCATGACAGGAAGAGAGGAAGAAAAGCCCACCTTGTTACAGCAGTGCACAGGTTGGGACCCGTATCACCTGACCTCAAGCCCAGTTTCTAGCACAGGCTCTGAATGCAACCGCTAGGTCAAGTTTCTTATTCTTTAAAATAAGGACTGTATACCCTTTCCCCTGCAGGCAGCCGGAGGATCAGTACACTACGTACAAGGCACTATGAGCACAAGGCCCCAGTAGGAAGACACCAGAGAGAGGGATATCAGGTCAGTTCATGGAAGGAAACCTTGGCTTTAGCCAACCACTCAGAGCACACTCAGGATATTCCATGCCGTTGCCCCTGCAAGTGTAGTATACCATACTTTTGTACAAGCAACTTCTGCACCTTTGATCTTGCATGACATTTAACTGTAAAGCCTCGCTGGCCCTGTTCTTCGCCTCTCCCCATACCCTCTTAAATTTAAAAGTAATCGCAGAAAAAACAGTAAGTGAAACTGAATCTACACCAGTGTAAAGTTGCTGTCTGTACAAGGATTTCAGGTGCAATTTGCTCACCAGATTAAACGTGTGTCTTTGAGCCATTTCTATGCCCCAAAATCATACACACAGGATCATACAGCAGAAACTTAGCTCACCTCCTTGCAACCTCACATCTTGCCACCTGTGGCAGGTTTTATAAAATCAAACCTAAACTGAAAGCAAAAGTCTACACAGTGGGTCTTCTTGGGTTTGCATCTGCACGTTTAAAAAGCCACCAGAGCACTATAAACTATGCAGAAAGCCTGCAAGTCTGTTGGGGCACATGCCAGTCTAGAGAAACCCTCCCTCCCCATGCTTTGCTCCAGAAAGGACGTTACAAAAACAATACATTCCTGTACAGTCATCAGCAGAGATAACCGCTCTGCTTCCAACAACTGTACCACTGGCCAGCAGAATCCTCGAAGCGGGTAAGACAGGATCTGCCCTGTTCAAACGAGCACCTGACCTCGAGACAGCGTTTTCCTTGGTGCCTTTTCTTTATTCTTGTCTTTTTCTTCTTTCTCAGCCCCATCTTTTGTGGATTTTTCCTCTTCCTTGTCAGAGGGGCAGCTAATGTGCAACTGAATGATGTCCTGGAACAAAACAAACCAGGTTGGTCTGAGTCACTTGGACATTCTCTGGAATCACTGCCATGGAGATGTTGGCAGCTGAGAAAGGCATCACAGAATGGCAGGGGATTCAGGTCGCAGATCTGAGATATTTCATAAGAGGCCCTGTTCTAAGAGCAGATGAAGCAGACTCTCTCCCCACCCTCCTCCCAATGAAACACCTTCAGCATGCTCCGAGGGGACTCTCAACAGCATTTGTCACTGTTGAAAACCTGCCTTGCCTGGATCACCTCAGAATCTAAGTCACACACCTCATTATTTGAAGCCGATAAAATGCTATTACATTTTGGACTCTACCATCTAACTTGGAACGAGAAAGGGCACGAGGAGAAAACAGAATACACAGCAAAAAGCTTGTATTGTGGTGTGATGAGTGGTCCCTGTGCCACATGGGACTTCCTGATGTTTCTTTTCACCTCCTCCCTTGAGTTGCAAACACCCAGCATGGCTTGAGGATTCACTCTGCTCTATGGGAAGGAATGTAAAACAGCAGTAGGATTGCCAAAGGCAGTATCAGATGACACGTTGCTCAAGTTCAAGTTAAAACTTACTATAAAACCACTACCTTTTTGTGCCAGCTGCTGTTTCCCTGTCCTTCTGCTTTTATGCTAGCGTGGTTCCGTGGCACCACAATGTGTGCTTATGGTTACTTTAGAAGTCCTCCTAGTGACCCTATGGTTCTAAGTGAAATCCAAACGAAAGACAGGAAAGCAGCCTCTGGAGCTGGGAGCCTCAACACAAGGAAGCCTTAGAGGCCAAGTATCCCATTCACCACAAGGGTGAGGTGATCTGGGCAGCAGTCAGTCAGGTTTAGTCCATGTCAATGGAAAGTACTGTAGACATCTATGACCTAGCACCCAGACCTAAGCTGGTGACTCTGCACAGTGTGGTACTATGACAGCTTAATGAAGATGGGCTGTGCCTCACCACAACCTGATCTACAGTGAGCCTGCTCAGATCTCCACACGCTGCACCACCCTATGCTTCTAAAGCTTATGTGGGCAGAGAAAGCTCAAGCCATCTATTCTTGCCAGGGCAGACAGGTTCTCAGCACCTCCCTGACTGCAGCCCACCTTCAAGCTTCAGCTTCTCTGCCACTGCCCACAGTGACCACAGATGGGGATCATCTCTGCAGAGCACTGCATATCACTTCTCTGTGAGCCGGCTGCTTTCGGTCACTGCAGCCTGAGCAGCAAGGAAAGGGCTTGCATAAAAACAACCTTCCCGTGGCCAAAACCCCTAGGGGCTTTGTGAAGATGAAGTGCCATTCCATTTTCAGGGGCATAAGCCTGCACAACTTGAGTAGTTGTGAGTGCCCAGTGAGTTGATGCAGATGATTCCTTGTAAGAGTAGGGCTGTGACTGTACACATATGAGCAGTGCTCAGAGGCATGACTGTTTCCTTCAAAAGCAGCCTCTTCTGGGAAAGTCTTGGCTCTCAGAGGCACAAGCAAGGCACAAGAACAGGACATCAATTCTAGCAAGATGTGGATTTTCTGGGCTTCCACACTTCAACAGCTTGTCTCATTCTAGGCCTACCTGGGACTCCAGCAGCCCATCTACAAAGGGGCTAGATGATTCTTCACATACAGCCAAACTCCTGACCAGTTTAAGCTTTGAATTAGACTGGAGAAGGAAAAGAAAGAGTATAGTTAGCACACCTCAGCCAAACTGCACACACTCAAGTTCATGCTGCTGTATTACCAAGCCACTCATGCAGCCATTGTTAATTAAACTGCTAAAGAGGAGGACTACCGAACCAGCTTCTTGCAGCAAACAGGAATACACAAAGGCTTGGAGTCCTACAGCAAATGAGTTATTTTCTTCCTTCAGTCTTTGATTAGGATATGAACCAACAAAATTTTTGGTGAGAAAGCTCACTGCCTTAATTCATGCACTCTTTGACCTCTTCAGCCAGAGCAGTTCCAGCCTCTCCCCTCCTCACCTGGCAAGAATTAAAACCATTAACAGAGGATATAGCTGAAACCAAATAGTTTATTGTTTTTTAAGATGTGAAGATTGCTACTATTCTTAATTAAAAGGCTGTCATCCCATTTACACCTCGCCTATCCGACCTGATCACTTTGGTTATTTTGGGTAATGTAGTAGTGCTTAGAGAAAATGCTTAAAATAAACCCTGCACTTTAAGGACTCTTGGCAAGTTGACTCACTTGGGTGACACATAGGAAAAAAATGTATCAGCCAGTCACATGATCTCGCAGGCAGGATCAACAATATGGAGAAAGGCCTGAGGGGCACAGACACATTCTGCCCTACTATGTATGGACAGGGCAGAAACTGGAATCACAGCTTATTCAGGTACTGCACAGAGTCCTGGCTTTTAAGAGCAAACAGAACCATTGGAATATTTTTTCTGAACACTCTGTAGGTCATAAGCAGCGCATCTCTTTCATACACTACTTTCATCACAAACAAACCCCGGCAGAACCCCTGTTACAAATTAAACTGGTCTCCCCTCTCTCCTATGCCTCAGGGCAGAATCTGTCTTCATGGGGGGGGGGCGGGGGGGAAGAGGAGGAGGGCTGGAAGAGACATTTGCCCTCCCAATCACAGTTTTAAAATCAAGCCCAGAGCAACATAGTTAGATGTCATAACTGACCCGGTTTTGAGTAGGAGGCTGGACTAGATGGTATCCTGAATTATGCTGTGTTTCTACAACTACCAAACCTGGAAAAGTCATGGCCACTTTTGATAAAGTGCTTCAGTAGTAGTTATCAAATTTTGCAAAGAAAAACTGGGGCTAAGGCTAAGAAAGGTAATATAATAGAAATCACACAATTGTTGCATTTTTACCCTGAGATTTTGCCTACAAACAATATTGTAGCACAGTGGTGTCCTGGTGCTTACTACCAGCAAAAGTTTTGAATTCACTAACATGCACATGCCATCGTTATGGGAGCAAATGTGGTGTTTCCTGAAGAAAAGGGGCCTTACATGAAACCAGTTATACTTAACTCTGGTTTTTAAACAGAGGGTGTAACAGGCTAGTGCACTGCCCTGTCCCTCCAGTGACACTTCTGAATTTAATTTCTAGCATTTTGGGCTCTTGGGGAGAGGACAGGTGTGGCAGTTAATAGCATCAAAGTGTTTCTTCAGGCTAAGTGTGTGTTAAAAAGGAGCACTCATGCTCCAGTGCATGGAAAGTTACTCTCCTGAACCATCATGTGCTGCATGTTGCTTCTGGAGACAGGAAAGACTTGAGAGTACCAACTTAAGCTTGGGATCACGATTCAAGCTCAGAACGGCCAAAAGAAGAACGGGACGTCAGAAGACTTCATACCTTGGCTCTTTTTCTGGCATGTCCATGACTTGAAGTTCGCCTCTGTGGAGAAAGGAAAGAGAAAGCAAGAAGCTGAATCTGAACACTGTAAATGGTATTTTCTGTGCAAGGCAGCACAACACTTAGCGTGTAAAAGAAGAAAATCTCTACCTGACAGCATGGGCAAATGGGGGGACCTAGAGAGTTGTCCTGTCAGGCCCCAGGTGGGCAAAAACTGCTTAAGAAACTTCATGTGGATTAGACCCAGTTCCTCTGTTTCTGACAGAACCAGCACAACTGTGGGATCACAGGGCATACAGGTGGAGGTGTGCGGCACACTTCTAAATGGGAAAACAAGAAGTCTGCCACCACTCATGGGACATGAGGAGGATTCTAACACAGTGGATCATGAGAGACACACTGCTGCTCTGATTTAAGAGACACTGAGTCATCTGTTATCCATACCTTCCAAGAAACCTTTCCCCATTCCACATTACAAAGTGACCAAGGTCAGGCTCTTTCTGCACAACACTGGTGTCTGCCCACACAGTGCTTGAATGAATGTGGCACCAGCCAACAGCTTTAAATGCAGAAGCATTCAGCAGGTTGTTGAGGGTGAGCATTTCTTCAAGCTCAACACTAAGCCAAAAAGCACATGTGACAGGACAGCAGAGTAGCAGGAAAGAGCCTC